GCCATTCATGAGGTTGATTGAAGGTTGAATCCGTGTGAGGAACGCTTGGAGGTGAGTTTTAATGGTTAGGATTTCGGTTTTCCTTCTCTTTCTTTGATTTTGGGTGATTTCTGTATTTAGGCCGAGATCTGTGTGGAGAACACTCTCGTGGTCGACTTTGAGCGTGGGTCTTCAATTCAAGATAAGGGGGGACTCTACCCTACTCTTTTATGTGTAATTTGCTGTTATTATGTGGAATATTGTGATGTTGCTGAGTTAGAAGATAGAAAATTGCTAAGATATGTGATGTGAATTATGTACTGGATGTTGTGAATCGGTATGGGCACTCATGTCGTATAATTAAATGAATATTGTGTGAAAATGTGGGCTCGAGGGCCATGTAATATGAATGGAAATAGGCTAGGGGCCGAGTGTCTTGAATGAATTATAGGCTATGTGTTGTGTGTGCTGTGAAAATGAAATGTGGGCCTAGTGCCGTAACTGTTAAACATGGGCTATGTGCCGTATACTAATATGTGTGTGACTGGGGCGTGTAACGCCATTGTAATGTGCTCTGAATGGTTCAGCGATACAGTGGGGGTGTGGGAGATGAGAACGGTAGAAATACCTTGGGGAAGAGGGAATGGTAGTGACACCGACTGTAGAACGGCTGCACCACAGGTCACACACTCTCTTCCGAACTAGACCTCTGACTATTACCTTTACTGAGCAACCTGTGACTGCCCATGTGGTATCCGTGAGGCGGGAGTAACTGGCGACCATTCATGGTGTAAATTTGTAATCACAGTGTCAATGTGAGTGTGACTGGCGTGCATATGTATGGGTTCATGAATTGTGCTTATGGATGTGATAATGTTGTCTGTACTTGTATTTGTTTAATGTATTGAAAATATGCTAGAGGTGAGACTCTATGCTTAATTGTATGTTTTGGTAGTGTAGAGTACTCACCCTTACATTCATTTTTTAGGTAATCAAGACAATCAGCACCGGACTCAGTGAAAGGAGCGGATGAAATTGCTATAGGACTAAGATTTTAATTTGAAACTAATGTATTTGAATGGGTCCTATAGTAGTGACTTAATAGAAATTGTAACCCCTTTCCTTATTTTAAAATATTTGATGAAACCAAGGGTTGAGAACCTTATTTAAAGTAAAATTTATTTTATTCCGAATTTGTGAAATTGTAATTTATTGAAATTAAATTTAAGGTGTTACAGTTATTTTATCTACTAAAGTCTAAAAATTGATAACACAATGATTAAAATTAGTTGTTCACAACTTTAAAAATTAATGGGAAAAAATACTTTTAAGAAGTTTGTTTATAGTTTTATCATCATTTATTAAAATAAAGTAAAGTGTAATATATACCGATTAATCTCCTCACAAAGAAAAGTATAATTTTAAAAATACAGAAGAGGGTATTGTAATTGATGCATTTCATGGGCATGTGGTTATATTTTACTCAAAGAAGTAGCAATGATACTAATCCTTATCTTTACTTAAACTATACTAACAAGTCATCATGGTAATGTTGAAACATCTTGTGCAAAAAGTGTATGTTGAGGCCAGGGTACTAGTGCTGTGAATAACACAACGAATTATGCTTTGTTGTCCAGTTTTGAGGCCAGGATAAATGGATATGATGACAACCACTTGGAAAATGTTTAAAAGCTTGTTCCTGATCTGCGTAATCAAAAGCCACGAATTTTCTTTCCGTTATTCTATAAGTTTTGAAAAAGTGTGAAGGGGAATTCAAGGAAAAGTAATTTTCAGAATACCCGTGAATCCTTGTTTCTCTAATATCTTGAACACCACAACTTTTGACTTCACTGAATCCAAGTTAGGCTAAAAGTTGGTACAAAAATAATGGTTTTGAGAATCTGAGCCAACCCGTTCACCAGATTTTCATTATGTTATACTTTATTGCAGATAAAGCACCAATCACATCGAGTTTTCTGTTTCAAAATGCCTTAAAATGTATTGGTTCTTGACTAGATGCCAACCTGAGCACCGTTTTACACTATTTTATGTCTCCTACTCCCAGAAGTAGAGAGATATTTCAAAAGAAGACAAATGACGTACGTATCAAATACTTGAATTAAACATAAGGCCACATTGAAAATCACAATAAAACATTCTAAATATTGTATCATACTTTGTATCCTTGCCAGTTGCCATACTTTACATCCAATCCAAGAAGTATACATAATAGTTATAAGAACCAATTATATTTTAAAATTATTGCTTTAAATCATGTGAGCTAACTCCAATTTTATATATAGAAAAAGGTAAATAATCAAATTAGCGCTTAAAAGATGTAATTTCTGTTGTATATTAGTCATCGAATTATGGAAATGGAGTGCCATATATCTAAATGTGATTTCTTAAGTCAAATTATTCTCCACATTAGTAATTTCAAGAATAGTGTAGCTGAAGAAATACACATTTAAGGACTAATTGACCAACTAAATGTATATTCAGGAGCAATATTAATGGGTGCATTTTTTCATAATTCAAGAACTAACATGAGTTATAGAGTATACTGTTGAGTCAAGAAATAAAATATTGTTTCATAGCTGGCACACGGTTATTTTATTGGTGGCCTCAGGATTTCAATAACAACCCCCAGAAAATGAATAGTATCAGCTCATGAAGAAACTACATTTAGTTATACAGATAAGGCATGCTGGGTAGAATATGGCTTGGCATGGGCGGTGGATGATCTTTTTCCATGGTAGTGGCACTGGTCAACCTAGGATATAAATGGTCTCTCTGACCTACATATCCCTAGCCCTTCTTTCATGCCTTAACTTTACCATGCATTATAGTTAATCTTCTTTTGTCTGTTTTTCATTAGCCCTTATACTTTCCACTACTTGCATCATTTCTATCCACACTAGTACTGCTTCATAGATTATATTCTTTGTAATCTGTATACTCTCTTCTCATGCATCTTTCATTCTTGAAGAGGCCAGCTATGTCTTTGCTTTTATATGTAAAAGTTGCGTGTACTAAGGAGACACAGTGCTATCCGTGTAAGCTTCTTTTACACTGATGGGATACCCGTTGTTGTTGACATTTACGTCTTAGCTGTTTTTTATTCATATTTTTTGCGTTTGATTGGTATTTTAATTAGGAGAAAAATTATTAAAAAAAAGTAAATATATATGGTTTGGATTTTTAAGTCCTTGATTGAAGTACTGAACAACGAAAATGATAATGGCTTTGGGAAAACAAAATTTATTTCATGTTTCTTTATACCTTACCTATCATCATAACCTAACAAAGAAGCATAAAAATTTACATAAATAATAAACATGTATTATAACTGTATCCCATGTATATTTTTGCCAAAATCTAGTGTATCAACACTTCAAATACTTCAAGTTGTATGTTTGTAATTTTTTTTAACTTCGTATACTATCATTCGTTATAACACTAATAAAATGCTTAAATAAATTTTAGTATTTTATTTTATATATTGATGGCCGATGCTGGTAAATTTGTTTATTTTGATATAAATTTTTTATTTTATACATATTAATCTCAAATTAATATTATATTATGATCGTTTTGTATGCACGTATTTTTGTAAATACTTCCAAGGTGATAAGAAAAAAAATAATTACTAACAATTAACGACCCATCGATCGACTTCAAAATCTCCACGACAATGTTTTTCTTTCTCCTTCTATAATGACTACCTAAATTACATAACCTGAAAGTAACTCTTCTTATTATCTAAACTCCCCTTCATTCATTGCATTGCATTGCAATTTTTGCCAACAAAACATAACAAAATCCAAAAGAGACCAATTTGTTAGTTATTGTACAAGCCAAAATCAGCCAAATATGTAGGGTGTTATAGAAACCATGTGCTTTATATATATCAAATAGCTTGCGAAACCATGGGGACCATTTCTTCCCCAAATCCAATCCCACTCTCAATCTGAGGACTAGTAAATATTAATTTGTTGCAAATTTTGTTGTCCGAAATCATGAACTTGGACAATTAAGTCTTTAGCCCTACTCTCCCCCTATGTCCTCCACTTGACTAACATTGTTGCAAATAGATTTGTTTAAAAGGCTATGCATTATTTTAAAATTAATGATAGTCTTCATGGACTCAATAAATTAATAAATCAATCCGGTAGCTATTGTCGTATCCACTCCATATTAAGGATAAATTCATTGACCTTCAATGAGATTAACAGTAATTACATGTTTCAGAAATTAACCCATACTTTCTTTATTTTATCTATTGTTCTTACACACTAAGACTCCTTATTTAAAAAAAAATGCCAACATCAACTCTAAAAAAGGTTTGAGGATAAACAATTAAAAGTAAATTTTAATTGACCTTAATTATTTTTTATTTAAAAATATGAAAGTATAATAAATATTATATTTTTCAATAAAATTTTACTATTTATATATGCTTAAACCTAGCTTTAAAAATTAGATTAATAAAATCATTTAAAAATTGCAGATACTTACCTATTTTTATATATGAAATATGCGCATAATACCCTTAAAACCAAATAATAAAACAAGGTGAGATATAATTTTCAAATCAAACAAGACGTAGATACATTTATTGCTTACTAACCTTAAAAGAGGTTAATTTAACTATCCCAAGATATTTAAATATTCAAAACCAGCAAGCATGTATGTGATATGCAAAACAGTGGCCTTGCTCGCATCACATGTACAAGTAGATGCATATAAAGGGAGGTTTGAAGCCCGAGGAGTGTCTAAAAGCAGGCAGTTAAAAGAGTGTTGCTATAGTCACCTGAACAGCTGGAGGCAGACTCAAAATATACAAAATAAACTTTGTGATTCCCAAGATTCCTGTCTCTGAACAGCTTTGAAAAATTCTGTTATCTTTCACTTAGTTATTTTGTATAGATCCGAAATATTCACTTCTACAAAGGCACAGAGTGAGAAAGAAAGGCTTCTATTTTAATAGGCCACTCCATGTTAGAGCTAGCTGAGTGGTCATGGGCACAGTAGAAATGATCATTGCATTTCACATGAAAGCTTTGGTCTTTTTCCTTTGGCTGTTTGTCCCCTCATTGGGCAAAGACTTGCTAAGCTGTGAGACAACATCACCTGATGCCTCTGGCTACCATTGCATTGAAAATGGGTCACAAAGCCAATGTGCAACATTTGCACTCTTTCTCACCAACTCTTACTACTCATCACTCTCCAACCTCTCCTCTTACTTGGGACTAAACAGGCTTTTAATAGCACAAGCAAATGGGTTCTCTGCAGGCACTGAGTTCCTCTCCCAGGACCACCCTCTTCTGATACCAATTGAATGCAAATGCAAAGGTGGATTCTTTCAGGCTGAGTTAACCAAAACTACCATCAAAGGAGAGAGCTTTTTTGGCATTGCTCAATCATTGGAGGGCTTGACAACTTGCAAGGCTATAAGGGACAATAACCATGGTGTGTCACCTTGGAATCTTGATGATAAAGTAAGGTTGCTTATCCCATTGAGATGTGCCTGCCCATTTTCATCTCATGTTAGACCACAACCGAGGCTTCTTCTTTCTTATCCTGTAAGTGAAGGTGACACAATTTCTAATTTGGCCTCAAAGTTCAATATTACCAAAGAAGCTATTGTTTCTGTGAATAACATATCATCAGAAGGCCTTAGACTTGGAAGCCTTGTACCCTTTACATCTATTTTAATTCCACTTAATGGTAAGCCTATTATTGGTCCTTTGGTTAAACCCAAGGAACCCAATTCTGGTTTTCCAACACCAACCAGCATCCCAGTGATTAGTCCCCACAAGAAGTCAACAATGTGGAAGACTCAATTGTATATTGGCCTTGCTGGGGTTGCACTTGGAGTCTGCATTGCTTTTGCTGTAGCCTTTTACTTTATCAGATTGAAGCACAAGAAGGAGGAAGAGAATTCATGCAAAGGAGATATGGAGCAGCAATATCTGAATCAGAGTGTGAGAACCACCTCCACCAGTGACAAGAAAGTTTCCTTTGAGGGATCTCAGGATGCTCTTGATGTGAAAATTGTTGATGTCATACCACGTAAGATGTTGCTGGAGACTTACACCATAGAAGACATGAGAAAAGCAACTGAGAATTTCAGTTTAAGCAATCACATTGAAGGATCAGTGTTCCATGGTCGTCTAAATGGGAAAAACATGGCAATCAAAAGAACAAAGGCAGGAACTGTGTCAAAAGTAGATCTTGGCCTTTTCCATGATGCACTTCACCACCATCCCAACATACTTAGGCTTCTTGGAACAAGCATGTTAGAAGAGGGGCAACAGCAAGAGCAAGAGAAAGAGTCTTTTATGGTTTTTGAGTATGCCAAAAATGGTTCATTGAAAGATTGGCTTCATGGAGGGCTGGCCATAAAGAACCAGTTCATTGCTTCCTGCTATTGCTTCCTCACTTGGAGCCAAAGGCTCAGAATCTGCCTTGATGTAGCCAGTGCCTTGCAGTATATGCACCATGTTATGAACCCAAGCTATGTGCATAGAAATGTTAAGAGCAGGAACATCTTTTTAGATGAAGAATTTGGTGCCAAGATAGGGAATTTTGGGATGGCAGGTTGTGTTGAGAATGACACTGAGGACCCACATTTCTATTCCACCAACCCTGCCTCTTGGAGTTTGGGTTATTTGGCTCCTGAATATGTGCACCAAGGTATAATTTCCCCAAGCATTGACATCTTTGCTTATGGGGTGGTCTTGTTGGAAGTTTTGTCAGGTCAAACACCCATAAGCAGGCCTAATGATAAGGGCGAAGGAAGTACTTGGCTCACAGATAAAATCAAATCCATTTTGGTGTCAGAAAATGGTAATCAACTAAGGGAGTGGATAGACAGTGCATTAGGGGAGAACTACTCATTTGATGCAGCTGTGACACTGGCCAACATTGCAAGAGCTTGTGTTGAGGAAGATTCTTCTTTGAGACCAAGTGCAAGGGAAATTGTTGAGAAGCTATCAAGATTGGTGGAGGAATTACCAGAAGGGGAAGGGGAAGGGGAACAACACATGTTAATGAGTGAAAGCTCTAGCAAACCTCTGGTGAAAGCACTGGAAAACAATCTGTGAATATTCCACTCAAGGAATCTATGCAAATCCAGTGATTCTAGATTTTGGTCATTAAATCAAGTCCTTGTTAATTTCAGTGCCTATATATATAGCCTATAGGTAATGCCTGCCTAAAAATTTCTCTTGCTCGTGGCTCTTGCTATGCACTCGAGTCATGTTTTTTTTTTTTAATGTAATTACCATAACAAATCAGAATAAGATACAGAACTTGTTCCTTTTCCTTTATCTTCCTCTATCTCATTGTTGCAGTGCTTAATCGAAGACAGCTACTTTGACTGATTCATTCAATGTTGAAAATAGAGAGAAACATATGAAGAAGGATATGTTTGTTATTTTTGTATATTGATTTAGCACAAAGAAGTGCTATTAATATAATGAGGAGTCTAGGTTAAATAAAGAAAATGTACAATTACAATCAAATGACATTCTAAATATGAGCTAATTATAGTGATTACAATAAAAATATTAATATAAGGATCAATATTAATTACAGTAACATACAACAATATTGTGTCTAACAATATTGTAAAACATATATTAGCAAATAGAAATTGTAGATTGAGAAAGATGAGATAACCCAATTAATAAATGAAGTATATACGCATTATAGCAGACATTTTTGTTTTATTATCCTGCTATAAATTGTCGTCATCCCAGGATTAGCTCTGGAGGCATATTTTGCTTGACAATGTGGACCAAATCTACTATGATCATACGTGGGTGCTATCGATCTCATGCATCTACACGTGATCAGATAAAGATTCATTTTTTGGGGTCAAATAATTCAACATCATATATAGTAACTAAATTAAATTTATGTTGCTAAAGGGAACATAGGATTGGAACACGCAATGCAGGCCAATTGGCCAAAAGCCTCACGAGTCACGACCCTCTAACAAGCATGCTCTATGACATTTCTTTTTTCAATTTGGTCGCCTGTGTCACATTTCTATGTATGGAAAAGTTGTGGCACAAATAATCAATTTGTATGAGAGCTAAAGGCCCAGAAAAAACTTTCAACCCTTCTTTCTTCTTTTTTTTGTTTTTTCCTCTGAAGGCTTGAGAAATAGGGTTGGCAATGAACTGAACCAATTTGATATTAATTTGAGACTCAACCCGTTAATTAAATGAACTGAAAATTAAACTCCATCATGATCAGATATTAATTGGTGAACTAAATGAGTTGAATTTGATTAAAAAAAAATACATTTTTGTCTCCTACTTTTGCTTCTGTGAAATTTTGTTTCTCCAAATATTCCTTATAACTTCTTATTTGTTAAAATTATATTATTTTACAATTTTATTCAATAATTATAAATATTTAATAAAAGTATGATGCATCGTTGATGTCATAAATTAGAAAAATATAAAATATGTAAAGAAAAATCAAACTAAACAAAATATAATGAAATCTATTTTTTAAACTTTTTATGTAATTATTTATTTTCTTTGCAAATATATGCAAAGGATACCTCCGTTATAATTTTACTAATCATAAGATAAATTTTAAGAGTAAAAAATTTAATTTGAATAATTAAAAATTATAAGTAGTTAAAAAAATCACATTTAAGCTAAAAGATAAAAACTAAATCAAGCCAAAATGAAACCCTCTTATCTTTATCGATGGTCTTTCTAAAATTTAAAATTTATTCCTTTTGAACTAAAAGATTTATTTCATGAGTACTCCCTATATTTGAATCGCTTTTCTAAATATTTGATGTGTATTTTCTATTTGTACTTGTTCTCTCTCTCTCTCTCTCTCTCTCTCTCTACTTTTGAATAATCATCCTTCTTCTCTTAGAGGAAGAGTCTTAGAAATGACCTTAGACATCACTAAAAACACGAGGGTTTTAGAGGAAGATGAGTGATAAGAAGGCGAGCAAAACTCTGGCTAGAGAATCAAACTAGGAGGTACAATAAAAGTATAAATCATAAGGAATAATTTCCAAAATAAATAGTGTTTATGGCTTAGGCCCATTTCTAGTCTTGTAGGCAACAAAAATGTTATAGTTCCAGAAAATATAGCTGTATCAGCCGAATAGTCAGAAACTAATAATTTGTAGTTAACATTCACTTCTATGCAATTCATAAATGTAGTTTCATTTATCACAATCCCAATTGTTTGCACTATGATGACATACTAATAATTTTTTCAAGACCTAATTCATCTCATACTACATGATATCTTGTCAATTGATAATTTGTCATCTTCAAATCATATGCCAATGCTAGTGAGTTTAGTCACAACACTAGAAAGCAATTAAGAACTTTTGTTTCAGCATCAAATTATGGTTCATAACCACGAACCAGACTCATTGACCATGATCATAATAATGTCGAAGTTTGTTCCAAAGAGCCTCAGCTACAAGGAAGAGACCCACAAATCCGATTCACATAGCTCCAAGGCTCCAAAAACACAACCAATTCATTACGTTGGTTACAGAACACCAAGCTGACTTCTTCCATTTCTTAGTGCCATAAGACGAAACTATCTTCCAACCACACTTATCAAATAAGTGCTATGATACATATATGATTCAACAACACAATTTCTTGTCACACGTCTATATTCTTTTATTGAATTCTTAATCAAAATCTAGCATGGTTTCTTCTATAATTCAAGCTTTTTCAAAATTTTCAATACCTAAAAAAGAAATATGAATTTCCAACAAACCAATCTCGTTAGCATCATCGGCTCACCATCATCTAATCCAACCTCGTATCACATCCAACTTGATTTGTTTCTTTCTATTAACTAGCAATCAACACCCATCAATTTGATGTCACAAGGATATTCTAAGTATATTCTAATAAATTTTAATTGCTTTGAAATATGATTTATTAAGTAAATAAAGATAAGTTATCAAGTCAATAAGGCAAGGTTTATTTAGTCAAAAATTATCGTTGATTGTTTACTAACTTAACCACGTCACTTTTCATTTTATCTTTTCAATAATTGATAATAATGCACACGACCACCATGGACTTAGATTCATTCATCTTTAAGTTTTTCTCATCCTTTAGGAAGTCAATAAAGAAATTTATTTAGTTAAGAGTAATTTTTCTTTTTGACTTTTTTTAGTAAGAGCTCATATAATTGTGGTGATGCCGATAATTAAGAATTTTGATCCATGCATCTTCAATTTTTTATGCAAATACAAATAAATTAAAATACTTTTCAAAAAAGAAATTTATTACTATAAATTTTTTTAAAAAGTTTAGAATATCTTACTCTTTGAAATTATAAAAATCAATAATTTAATAGAAAAATAGAATTAGAATTATTTATATTACTCAAGTTACCCAAACTATTGTGTTCTTCCAAAACTCAATTTAGGAAAAATGTTAAATTACAAAAAATTTAAAATTACATTAATTCTAAAATTTTTTTTTCTAAATTTGCTATAATAACACAACAATTATCAAGGTTTCAAGTTTCATAATGCCTCATTCTTAATATTTTCGATATCAAAACAAATTAATTCAAAACAAGCCACCAGGAACACAAATAATTTACTCATTCGAAAGAGAGCGTGGGAATCTGTCCCTTACATCACCCTTTTCTACTTTGTAAAAACATATATCCTCATCTTTACCTAAATAATTTGTTGTTGTTCTAAGGTTAAGAAAGGAAATTCCACCTCCAAACACTTGGTTTTTCCTTGTTTATTGAGTAAAATCTAACCAATATAATTGTGAGCTCTTAAGAGATATTAATGAAAAATAACAAAAAAAAATATAAATTCAAACAAAAAGAGGTAAAACCCTTTTACTATTGGTAGTTGGAAATTCTCAAAGCCATGATAGAAGAGAAAAATAATATCCAATAGGAAAAAAGAACTCACATTTGTTGGAGATGAAATCTTATAACATCTAGAACTTGAAGAAATGATGGATTTTCTTCTTGAATCAAAGGAAAATCATCAACAACGTGAAAGAGTGAGGAGAAATTACTAACTATTTTTGGAAGGGGAAAAAGAAGATAGAAGAATAAAATCATGTAAAAAGTGGGTTACCTTGTGAAGATTCAAGTGGAAAGCATAAAAAATTCAAAGATTTTAGTGAATTTTTCTTGAATTTCAAAGAGAAAGTGAATTTGAAGATAATAACTTGGAAAAGAGAGTTGATATAGGAATTTTTTGAGAGAATAAGATACTTATCTTATCCCTTTTTTACCACATCTAATCCTTTGGAAAAAAAATGAATGATTGTAGTTTATTGAAACAATATAAATGAGTTTTATATTCTTACTTATAGGAATTTTATGGGAATTGATCACTTTATCATCCATTGGAGAAAATGTTCAGCTAAATAAAATGTCATTGAATTACTTAGATGAATGTCTCTAAAGTCATCTTGGTTGTACTCTAGAATTTAAAATATTTTGATAATTTTATACTACTTAGGTAAGTAATTAATTACACAAAAAATAAGATAATTAACTAAAATTTATAAGATTATTATTATTATTATTATTTATACCTTCTATAATTTTTTTAAGCCTCTAGAATTTTTTCTAAATTATAAAACAAAACATTACGCGTGTAACATAAAAATAGGCTAAAATTAAAATTTTCAATTCTCAAAATAAATATGAAAATATATATAATTCTAGAATTTTTTATAAACATTTTTGTTTAAAAAAAGTACAATTAAAATCATCATCCTAAGTTTCTTTTTCTGAAAATCTAAAAATGATTAACAAAACTTTATGATTTTGATTAAAAAAACAAAAATGAAGCGTTACATTACCTAAAGTTTTAAGTTATTAAATAAAAACTATACGTTGTGTTATGTTTTATGTAGACAAATATTTTAATGTTTATGTTACTATCAAAATTTTGGACACCAGCATTCCTCATATGATGTTGATTCTAATTTATTCTTTTTCTTTTTTATGATAAAAAAAATTTAAATATAGATGAGTAAGATTTAGTTTGAACATAAACGAAGGATTTGTATAATATTAGTAATCTTATGTCTTTGTCATTTTGTGTCTAAAAAGAATAAGACAAAGACAACACACAATGTAATAGCAAGAATTTGTATAATATTAATCTATAAAATATACAAATTTCTATTTTGTCATAAGAAAAAATTGATCATTTATAAACAAATAAGTCAAGAAATATGAAATAAAACAAAATACATTATTACAAAAAAAATGTAAAATGTTTATTAAAAATTCTAAATATAGAGTCTTTAAGTTTAACTTATTAAGTTTCTTTTAATTTTATTGTAGAAAGAAAAAAATAAAGAAGAATTGAAATTGGTAAAAGGTCGAAAGGAGCATGTTTTGTGCTTCTGAATAATATTTTTCCTATAGAATAAGGGATATAAAAGAACAAACAAGTTGAGATAAAGAAAATAAAATTTAAAAAGAATGAAAAGAAGAATGAGGTGGTGAAGAACTTAAGAAGGAGAGGATAGCAATAGACGAAGGAAGAGGGGATGAGTCAAGTGCAAAGCCAATTTTTTACGTGCGGCTTGTTTCACTTTCATGCTTTGTTTTGCAACTTCAAACATTCTAAAGGATGAGCATTTGGGAAGAGTGGGAGCCTCTGATGCCAAAAATTTAAAAAGACAAAAATAAAAAAAATTACAAAAAATAATAAAATTTTAAAATATATTTTTATATTAATAAAAATAATATTGAATTAATAAATAATTATTTTTTATTTTGTAAAAATTAAAAATAGTTCTACTAGGCTACTCTACTGTTGACCTGCATTTTGACAAAGTTAAAAGAGAATAGATTAAGCGAGCCAACAAATGTGAAAGCTCAACCCACTTTAACACCCCTAGCATTTGGCTTTATTGACTTGTTTTAAAAATCATGTCTTCTTATTCCTTTGAATTGAAGAAGTATGTCTTTTTATTTTGCTTTTTCCTTCATCAACTAATAGAAGGTGAGGATCAACTTTGTCTAATTGCAATTAGGCACACTTCATTGGAGTTAAGATATCAAAGGGATGAAACTTCCATAATATGAAAAACTTGTCCAATAAAAAAAGCTTGAAGATGTTGTAGTAAGAATACTTAGAATGTGTGAAAATCTTCACTAGACTACATAAAACTCTAACGTCGTAGGGTTAAATCAGTATAAACCTCAGAATTTTCCTTCTTTCTACCTTTTTCTATTATTTTAACTAATTTTTGCATTAAAATTTTATTTACACTTTAAATATATGTTTTGTTTTGCAATAACTATCAATTTTGGCACCGGAGAATTATTTACACACTATCATTTTTGAAAAGTTATGAAACTCGATTTAACTCGTTTCTCTTGTTTTATGATCTGAATTTCAATTTTACTACTTATTATTATTTTTTTAAAATCCATAATACATATCATTTATTGATAGCATCACATGTATTTAATTAGACATATGACACTAAGAGAATCGCTGGCGTGATATAGTTTTATACATATCAAGTAATCAGTAATTACTGACAAAGATCATTTAAGAAAATAATTTTATACAAAAATCAATAAAAAAATATATATACCAAGATTAAAACTAAATTTAATCATATTTAAATATTATATATGTATATATACACACACAAGTCATTATAACATTACCCAAATTTCAAAAAAAATATTTATTAATTACGTTATATTATCTTATTTTGATTCGAAAAATTATAGAATATTTAATTTTTTATGTACTTCATAAGTTTTACGTCATCAAATTCAATATTACATGGCATCAAATTAAAACATTAAATTTATTGTCTCATTAACTTACAAATTATATTATGTTAATTTGATTTGAAAAATCATAGATTAATTATTTTTTAATGTATTTGATAAAGTTTACATCATCAAATTCAATATTACATACCATTGCATTAAATTCATTGTCCTTTATCACGTTATGTTTAATAAAAATGACAATGGTGATTAGTCACCTCCAAGAAAAGAATAAAACATATAGGTACATATTTACCTTTTGTGTTCCAACGAACAAAAGGTACATATGTACCTACAATGTGTCAAGACTAAAGCATACCCCTAAAGAATAAGAAACTAACGTACATTAATTACAACAACATCATGACCTTAAATTCATAAAAATCGAGTACCCCATCTCCATCAAGATCAAATTGAGCAATCATATTTTGACAATCATCAATACTTCTAGATTCCCCTAACCTACTAAGCATCCTCTTAAGACTCCTTGGTGTGATGCAGCCACTCCCATCCATCTCATACATCTTAAAAGCCTCTCTTAGGTCATTCACTTTATCTTCTTCTTTCCCTCCATCCACAAACTTCACAAAATCATCAAACCCCACCAGCCCATCCCCGTCCGTGTCAAGAAACGCCACCGCCGACTCCGCGTCCTCCGCCGATAACTCCTCGCCGATGGCCTCCACGCATTGCCGCAACTCCGACGGCGATATCTTGCCATCTCCATTTTCATCAAAGTAATTGAAAACTCTTTCATACTGGCTTTGCTTGTCCATGATAACTAATGCAATCGACCAAACTTTGTAATTTAAAGCATCCACACATATAAATATACATATAATTCTTAAAAGAAGAAATGAAGAAGAAGCAGAAGAAGAAGAAGAAAACGAAGTCGTAATGGGAGAAGATAAATTAATATAGTAGCAAAATGCCGCGTGGCGTGAATTGACCAAGCTACTTATCTGACCAAGCGTAACTATGAGGAAGATTCACGATATTTTTGTAATTATGTAATAACTTTTTTAAAAAAATTATGAAGAATTTTGTTATACATGGTTATTTAAATTTTACATAATTTTTAATTTTTTTATAAAATAGCATTAAATAAATTATAATTTTTTAATCTATATTTAAAGAAACAATAAAAATTAATAAATAATATTTTTATAATATTTAATATTATCAAAATATTAAATATTATATCATTTTATAATTTAATAAAAATTTATAATATATATATATATATATATTATTATATGTTTATAAATATTAGAAAAATCAAATAGAAAATCTATATATTTATCTTTTGAAATATAAAAAATATTTAATACTTTTTTCATTCAATAATTAGCATAATTTGTGAGAATAAAAGGTAAAAATTTATAATTATTCTATTACAAGGTATTTTATGGTTATTTTCAAGTATTTTTGTTTGTTTTAAATAAATAAAGTTGCTAAAACGTTAAATTAAAATAAATAAAAGTAAATATTAACAATGGAATTGAGTCTATCAATATTAAGCTAAAAAATAATAAATGTTATTCAATGTTACGTGGAAAAAACAACGAAAGAGCAGCAATAAAAAATTTTTTGATGGATTTGATGGTCTGCGTGGAGAACGAGTAGCCGCCGAAGACTATTTGTAGCACACATTACACACCGCTTCAATGTCAGTTGTCTACTTAATGTGAGAACATAACGAAATATAGGGAAAAATATGATTCCCCTTTAGTGGAAGTTTCTAGAAAATAACTGTAACCCCTTCCAAACGAAACCGCATCTTTCAGTGCTAATTATATATATTTTAATTTAATTCTTAAAGTTAAATTTAAATATTTAAAATAAAATTATTCTTATAAAAATATATTAATTTCTTATTAAATTTTTAATATTATTAAATACTTAACTTCAGGATAAAGATTAAGATTAATACTTTTTATAATTATATAGTCTTTTGAACTCATTTTATCAAACATCAGCATCATTAACCTCTCCCACAAGGTTTAAGCATTTAAGTTTTTATTAAAAAATAACATCTATTTTATTAAATTTATAAAAATATAATATATATTTTTTAATAAAGTTTTACTATTATTATTTATTTAAATTCAATTAAAGTTGACATCATACTTTTTATAAAAGAAAAATATAATTCATTCATTAAAATTAATACAATTAAATATATGTAATAATTTTATAATATATTTTAAAAATATCTATAGTATTAAATTACCAAATAAATAATTTAATTATATAAAAAAAATTTATTATATAAATAGGACACATAATAAGAATGTATATAATAAATGTTTAGTTTAAAAATTATAAAATATCATATGACTTAGTAAATTAATAATATTAAATACTTATTTTTTAAAAATTATTTATTAACTTTTTTATGTATCTAAGAATACATGTTAAATTTTTTATTATAAATATATATAGACACACGTTTGAATAAGTGTCTTACTAATACGAATCTCTCTCTCTCGAAAACTGTTTGAAAGTTTTAAAGTTTATTAAAACCTGTTTAATATGTGTAGACATATTTTATATATTTGACTTTTTAAAAGTTGTTAAATTAATTATTAGTTTTCTATGAATGATGTTTGTATATTTTTTTCATTTTAAAGAACACCTTATTAATTTTGTTTCAAAAGTCGTGCCTCTTGAAAGATTGGAGTGGACGATGTCAAGTTCCTGCATGGAAAATGTTACACTTGTATAACATTACAAACATATAATAATGCAATATGAATATATTTTTCAACACTCTTATATTTCACACTTTTTCTCATAAGTGAAAATATGTGCTGTTAGGGAAACACTAGTCTTCAAGTATCTGCTCTGAAGTGGTGACGTCTTTCTGATTGTCACTAACGTGGAGAGGGTACCTGCAAAAGGCACTTTGATGCTGAAGTCAGGATTTGGTTCTGAGCAATAAATAATATTTAATAATGAAAAGTCAACCCTTTACCTATACTTCTTACCTTCCTTTTATAGGCATTCTTATGGGTTAAGGGCCTGCTGAGTCAGCCTTGAATTTTGCCCCTTTACTTTAAAGTGATTATTATCCTTAATGGGATTAATTATCTTCTAATCCTGACAAAAGGTATTCAGTCAAACTGGGCCAAATAGGTACTCGGTTTCCTTTTTCTATATGTAGGACCAAGCAGTTCCAGTACACTAATCCCCCAAGCCTGAAGAGGTACGAAGCAAGGGCTTAATAATATACAGGTACTAAGAACATGTAGACGAGGGGGTACTCGGTTTGGTAGGATGGATGTGAATACCGAGGGGGGTGTTCGGTTCAAGTATAGAAAAATGAGGGGTGTATACACCGAAGGGGTATTCGGTTTATCAAAAAAGTGGTGTAGACCGAAGAGGTAAAAACAAGAAACCATAAAAAATAAAATAAATAATAAAAAAAAAATCATTCTAGAACTTCAGGGTTTTAGGGTTTCAGGAATTTTTAGAGTTGTCTCGATGTGTGTGTAGGAAATGAAAGAGTGTTCGATCTCAACCGTTTGATTTAGAAGAGATTTGTCGGTTTGGAAGGGATGCGACCCTTCATATGTTTGAGGGCCCTAAACCCTATAAATATATGGTGGTCCAGGTATTTTGTTCTCCACTTTTTCTCTGAGCCGAGAAGTACACACTATTGCTCTAAACTGAAGGGTATTCAAATTTTCTCTCTTTCTTCCGAACCGACTATCTGTGAGGTACGTTTAGTTTTCTTTTCTTTCCCTTCCTTATTTTACCATGGCCAAATCCTTGGAATGGGAGGACTCTTTGTCGGACTCATCTAGGCCGACTAGTATCGATGGTCAGAATGTTGAAGGAACCGAAGGGGGGTGAAATTTTCTTCAAGACCGAGTGGGGTAAATGAAGAAGTAGAGACTCACTTTAGAGAATGTAGTGACGAAGCTGAATCGTCTGAGTCAACTAATTCTGATTCTTCTGAGCTCCTACCGAGCATGAGCCCTCCTAGGAAAAGACCAATATTCTCTCCCTGTACAGTTCCTGGATACTAGTGGGTACACGGTGCAGTAACTGCCTACTTCTCTTGGTTTAGAAAAAATAGGAGTCTTCAATCTTTCGTGGACCATTGTGAAATTTCATTATGGGAATCTTCTGATCCCTACCCCATATCCATCGACCCTTGTCGAGGAGAGGAAACCGGGAACCCTAAATTTGTTTCTCAAGGGGAGTGTCAGGATGGCCGACACCTTCTTTATGTACGAGTATATGTTTAGAGAACTAGTTATAAAGCTGCCCTTTGACAACTTCCAAATAGGAGTAATAAGGGTTTTAAATGTAGCGCCGACACAACTCTATCCGAATGGGTGGGCGGCTATCCAAGCTTTTAGAGTACTTTGTAAATTTTATTATATAGAACCTAGTGTAGGCTTATTTCTTTATTTCTTTTGTACTCGTCCATTAGACTTAGCATGATGGATATCTTTAATAAGGCAACCAGAATTGCCACTGTTTAAGCCTTATGCTTCATCTTTTAAGGGTTTCAAGACCGGCTACTTCAAAGTAACCGTCCACCCTATAGGTAAAAATTTTTCTTTGATAGTGAAAACAATCCTCTCTTTCCCTTCCACTGGACCCGAGTGCCTTGCCGGTACGACTGGATTCCTGAGGACCTATTGTCGGCCAAAGAGATATCGGCTTTGGATTACTTGAAGTCTCTTCCCTGAGAGCTTCCTGCCCAACACATACTCCTAGTGTTAAAATCTCCTCACCCTCATCTGGACATGGATGGTATATTTCATCTTTATGATTTAGTTTTTGAATCAAGTTGTATTGATTTGACTTTTCCTTTTTATTGTAGGTTTGATGGCTCAACGCGGTGTTCACGTACCAACATATCGTCAAACCTTGAAGACCAAGACACCTAAAAACACACCAATTGAGGAGCACCGAAACCCTCAACTCTGCCAGAGATAACTGAGCCTCATCCTCCTCCCCGAGACCTTGCCATTATAGATACCCATCCCAAGAGGCGCAGAGAAAAGGGCAAGGAGAAAGGCAAAGAAAAAGAGGCCGAGAGGGAGAAAAAGAGAAAGCATTCCCATTCAGGTAGACCGAGTGGCTCAGAGGGGGCACAAAGTCAATCCTGAGGTGATATGATGGCTGGGGTTAGCAGCTCTGCAAACTCTGCTATTCCCCCATCTATCTTATCCGACACCTTCCTCGTCCCAAGGGTACATGGTGGACGAGTAGTTGCCCCTAACTTGCTTTCTGATTCAGGAAATGAAGTGGTCAATAACCTGGACCTCAAGTCCTTATGGCGATGCTACGTGGAGCTTCAAATTCGATCCATGATGATGCTCCGAAGACTAGCTTTGGAGCCCACACTCGAGGTGAAAAGGGTGCAGAACGAGTACTCCTCCTTTCAGCAAGCTTTGGCCAATAATGAAGAGATTCGATTGAATCTTTCTGAGACCAACAAAGCTTTGGAGGCCGAGGTGATTCAGTACAAAGAACACTACCATATAGTGGAGAGTCAGCTCCAGGCCACCGAGCAAGAGTTGAGGGCTAAGGAGGAAGAACTGGGGACTCTAAGGGTAAAATCTTTGGGACTTAAGGAGGCCTTAAGGGTCAAATCTGTTGAAATAGAAGAGGCATTGGCTCTTGAAAGGCAAAAAGCTGATGCTGAGATAAAGGCCTTTGCTGACAAGTGTTCGGTACAAGTGGCTATCAAACACGAGTCGGGCTTTAACCATGTCGTTCGCCAATGCTATGGTTTCTACAAGTGCCAGCCAACTTCCATTTCGATCTTACCAAAGATTTTTTCGGTGACATGTTTTTACCATACAACGACGTGGATGATGATGTGGAACTTGACACCAAAGTCCCTTCCCGAGTCGAA